ACCAGGCCCGGAGATTTAGTAAGCTTAGCTATCACCATAGCCGAACACTTTGCTAAAACTACCGAACCAACTTAGCCAACCCTCTGGATCGAGGTCGGGGAACTGCCGCAGTCAGAGCGGAAACCGTGGGCTCACGAACACGACTCGCGGCGGCGGCAAGGGCCACACCGGTGTGCACGTCCAGGTGAGCAGTCCTCGAACCTTCCTTTATCAGTACATATTTATTTATTCGCCATCTCTCTCATTCTTAGATGGAAACCTTTGTGCGCGTAGAAGAGGCCATGAACCCCGGCATCGAGTATATGGACGAGCTGGCGCTCAAAGCGCGGGGGGATATGGGGAGCGATTACGATGTGGAGACAAGCAAATGCAATTTAAATTCACCTGACTGCTAGGCTGCCAGGCACTACATTTTGATGGCCCCTCGGCCAACCCTCGGCCGAGACATCGCACAAGTCGGCCGAGGGTTGGCCGAGGAGCTCGACCGGGGCCGATGTCCGACATGCCATCCAAATGTTGTGAGGCTAGATACCCCAAAACATGTAGATAAGCGCAACTCTGGAATACGAGTGGATTCACGGAATTGAATTTTACAATTCATTGTGTTCTCAAAACGTTCCTCTTCGCCTTCCACTCTCTCGGCTGCTTTAATTTGAAACAGGTATTAATTTCTCTTTGCGATTTCTTTTGCCCAACAGAAGGCCAGTTGACCCAGGACGTCGGGCTGCGCCACCAACACTAGGACACGATCCACCCTGCAATGACATATCATTGCATAAGCATCTCCCGACTAACTCCATCAGATACTCGATGGCTTGACCCTGAAAAAGGTCACATATGACCATAAGAATCTATAGAACAACATCCGAGAATGAGCCTTTACCTTGTGACTTTGCGCGCCTACTTCAGGCATGATGAACAGAAGCTGTCGCGATTCCAGTCCGTGCCGAGCTGTGCAGGGGTGCCTGAAGGCTGAACATCTATATTTTGCCAGTGGGTGATACGTGCGATAAAACAACTGGGCCATTCGCCACCGAGTCATTGTTTTGAAATGGAGCGAAGCAACTACGCGACGCGACGCGAGTCCACACGTGATCGTGGATTTCCGTGACTGTGACGTGACCCTCTTTTTCCCTACCACCACGATGCTTTCGCTGCTGCGTCTCCGCGCCTTGCCCGTACTGCGCCACTCCCCCCGCGCCCAGAGAACACTCCCCTCCCCGCGTACCTCCCTTCGTTCCTTGTCCACCACCCGCACGCTCTACCTTCAAATCTGGTTTGTCGTCTTTTCGACTATCAGGCTTCCTTCCGTCCGCTGACTGGCTCGTTTTTAGCTTAAATTGTATGTTCCTCGCCGAAGCTCTTTCCTCGTACTGACCCGCTTGTTCGGATGCAGGCCACCGCGAGGGCCACTTTAGGTCGGACTGCAAGGAGCCGATGATCTGCGCCATCTGCGGTGTCCAGGGGCACAAGGTGTGTTTCCTTCTCCCTCTGCCTCTCACCACCATCCGCCCCGTTGCATCTAAGCTAACCCATCATCCCCCCAGCCCCGTGACTGCCCCAAACCCGACCCCGCGCACATCGAAGCGCTCAAGACCGCGCCCCGCAAGTGGTGTGTCTCCTTCTCTTTACCTTTCCCTTCCTCCATCATCCTTGCTCACACACTCTTTCCTTTCCTCCTTTTATACAGTTTCCGCTGCGGCGAGGCGGGCCACCTGGTCCAGGAGTGCTCCCAGCCCCCGAAGTGCTTCCACTGCGGGCAGTCGGTGCGCTCCTCTATGTATCATATCCCGATACCCCGCCCATTCCTCTTTTGTAGGGCCACATCTCGAAAACCTGCCCCACGGCCCCGCCGCGCCCCAACAAGGCTCCCGCTGCCACCGCTGCCGTCTAGACACCGTCCCCTCCATTCATCCTCCGCTGCCCGTCTGCACCACCCGCGCTTTCCGAATCGGGGCGGTATAACGTCGTCATGTATAACGCGTTCTGAATCGTTGTGTGCGACTTTCTTTTTGGATCGGAGGGCGGGCGGATGGTGCGAGTCGATCATTCTTAAATCGTTAATCATTAGCAACGCATATCGTTCTCATGCGCACCATCCTGTGCCTCCTTCCGCCGCATCCCTTTATCTTCATCCGCTCTTTCGGCCCGTTCACGATGACTCGTTGCAAGATTCGTTAATCCTTCTCCACCCTCCGCGTTTCCACGATTCATCAAGTGCGCAATCTTACAAATAACTGCCTAGAGCTTTCGTTGAAAATCAATGCATAGTGCATTCGTCGAAAATCGATTCACATACTCCGCGAGGGATAAAGGTAAACGCTGCGCGTTGAAATCCGACGAGAGCTGGTTGTTGATTTTCCTGTCGCTAGGAAGCTGATTTCTTGCTGATCGTGGATACCGATTTGTCGTTGGCACCGGACGCTCAAGTTTCTTGTAGATTTCGGGCCCTTGCTGAAGCCGGACTCTGATTTCTTTTCTACCGTGGACGCTGATATATTGCCGACCCTGGGCACGTTTCTTTCCGACCGTGGACGTTAATTTTTTCGTGACCTTGGACGCTCAAGCTTCTTGCATATCCGCGCCGCTGATTCCCTGCTGACGCCAAACGCTCGGATTTCTTGCTGATGCGGATTCTGATTTCTGCCTGAAGCCTCACGCTGATTTCTCGTTGACGCCGGACGCTGAGCTCGAGAGTGAGAGTGAGTGCGGAGGGTACCTAGAAATTTGTATCGCACCGGGGGAAAAAGAAGTGGTATTTACCAAACTTATGACTCGGGCGTGGATCGAACAGGCGATTTCTGCTTAACTGACTCTGCATGATCACATAGAATGAAGAGCAGACGCGGACCATCCGCCACCGAGTCGCTGAATAGCTTGAATCTATCGCATCCAAACGGAGTCCGATCCCGAACCTGAAACCCCTCGGCAGGATGAACTCTGAGTTAACGTGCACATCTGAACATGTAATCTCTGCGTATCCGATTAGCCCTATCGCAATCTGAGAACAACCAAAATTCAGCTTCCAGCTAACGAGCTCCGCCGGACATGGAGAGGCTATGTAACTCGGTGGGCGAAACAGTTGGTGCACGAAAAAAAAAATCAGGATGATTCATTCAACTATGACTCGAGCCTGGTTCGAACAGGCGATTTCTGCTTACATATTAGTGGACGTGGAATGAAGAGCAGATGCGGGCCATCCGCCACCGAGTCGCTGAATAGGCTGAATCTATCAGATTGAAACCGAGTCCGAACTCGGAGCTAAAACCCGTCGGTAGGATGAACTCTGAGTTAACGTGTGCCTCTGGACATGTATAATGTTTGCGTATACGTGAGCCTAGTCCCAGTTGGAGGACAAAGACAATTCATCTTCGAGTTAACGACGGTGGATGTAGCTACGCTAGCTCAAAGTGGGCGGATTCACGCACGATAAAAAATACACGACGTGATCGACGACATGACTCGGGCCTGAATCTAACAGGGGAATTCTGCACATCTCGTAACAAATATTGGGATAGAGAGCAGATGCGGGCAATTGGCCATCGAGTCGGTTCTGGTGTTCAATATGGGGTGGATAAATATTAGGGTTTAACAGGAAATGATGAGTACAAGGAGGTTGAGCTTGGAGGTAACGTGCTCCTCTGGACTTTGGAGATGTATAAGCAGGTTAACATTATCCCAATTGAGAGAAGAAATAACACAACGCAGGCTAATCATGAGGAGCGGCTGTGGAAAAAGACGAATCAAAAATCGAGGTCACAAAGCTGGATATGACTCGGGCCTGAGTCGAACAGGCGGTTTCTGCATGGTACGTCATACTTCACGCAAGTAGTGCAGATAAGGACCGTCCGCTACCGAGTCGGTGTTGGGGTTCGAACTGCGCTGGATCAATGACTTTTAGTTGGGAACAATGTTGTGGGAAGATCAGCTTCGAGTTAACAATTTTGGGAACTAATCTCACTTGGCAGTGACTATGAAACAATGAGCGCGCAGAATAAGGAGCGGAATAGCGAAAGGAAAGACAGAAAAAATTCAATCACCAAACAATGACTCGGGCCTGAGTCGAACAGGCGTCCTCTGCAGTAATTTTGCTCCCTTCGCATATATGTATGTGGGGCAGCCGCGGGCCATCCGCCACCGAGTCGGTGTTGGGGCTCAAATTGCGCTGCATAAATAAGACTGGAACAGAGCACACTTTCAATTTTGAGTGCAAAGACGAGGCAGATGGAGTACGGTGTCGCCTTTGGCTTATCTCCTCGGCGGTATGCATATAATTCGTGCGTCTTCGTGGCTAATCCTAGGCTCACCGTGGGTTCTGGGAAAAGGTAACGCATGTGTGGAGTACTAGAGATGTAACTAATAAAAATACAGAGAGATTCGGTTAACGACTTGGGCCTAAGTTGAACAGGCGACGTCTGCCGAACAGTGTAGTCTACGAGGTTGCAAATCGCAGACGCAGACCCTCCGCTACCGAGTCCGTATTAATTTACACTCTGACCAGGCTCGATAAACGTGCAATCGAGCACAGTTTTGAGTACCAGGATCAAATTCAAGTTAACCATGTCGGGGGATTTACACTACAATCTTAGGACTGAACCTCATTTGAGACTGGAAAGTTAAAATAATCAGCGCAGGGATGGGAATGTGAAAAAATAAACAATAAAAAGGTATTCTTAACCAACTCCCATATGACTCGGGCCTGAGTCGAACAGGCATCTTCTGCGGGACACGAAAGGAATGCGATTAATAAAGTGCGCAGAGGCGGACCGTCCGCCACCGAGTCGGTATTAACTACAGTCTGACCAGGATAAATGAGATTGAAATCGAGCATAATTTGGAGTACGGTCATCTACGGAGCCTGGCCTTTGACCTGTATTCTTGGCGGCATGCCTCCAATTCTTGCCGGTTCATGGCTAAATCCAAGCTCACTGTGGTTCCGGAACAAGGTAACGCACTGTGAGGACTCGGAGCAAAAGCGCAATAATAGAAGACTCCGCCTATGACTCGGGCCTGAATCGGACAGGCGACTTCTGCGGAACACACGAGTAGACAGCATACATAAATCGCAGACGCGGGCCATCCGCTACCGAGTCGATGTTGGGGTAAGGATGAACGAGATAAAATAGTCCTTTGGCAGAGATCCTGCAGCGGAGTAGCATGGAACAGCTAATTATGCTACTTAACCGCCGAGCCCGAACATAAGACGAGGCATTCGAGGACAGGAGTTAAGGGCGATGTTAAACGAGTCGAGAGATCAAAAAGAGCGACGGATGGAACCATGACTCGGCCCTGAATCGAACAGGCGTCTTCTACTTCATACTGGTTATGCGCACCTCATGAATACAGAGCAGATGCGGCCCATCCGCTACCGAGTCGTTAGTGGGTTCAATCTGCACTTCATGCAATCGAGCATGATTTTCGAGTATGACATGTACGGAGGCTCAAGGTCGGTTTGAGTTGACCAGCTCCTTGCCGGACGTAGAGAAGAGAGTTTGATGATATATAGAGAGAAAGGCACGTGCACGCTAAGGAGCGCAGTGGAAAAACAGGGGAAAAATAAGTCGAATTGCCCATGCATGACTCGGGCCTAAGTCGAACAGGCGAAGTCTGCCGAACAGGATGACTACAAGCGGTTCATAGATCGCAGACGCGAACCATCCGCCACCGAATCGGTGAATAGCCCAAAAGTTTGCGGGCTAATAAATGACTAAGGACATGGTCAACAAGAAGCGTAAAATCCATCCTGAAACAGTCGTGAAGAAGTTGATGTGCTCGATGATATTAATGGAATTGAGCGATTAGGAACGGATCATGGGATTAAAAAACGCAACGGAGGAAGCCTAGGCACAGTGGAGTACGCACAGTGTGCTGAATCTGCACTGATTGAAAGGAAGTGTCCTTACTTCTTAGAACGATGTACAAGCTTGGTATCTGCTCGATGATCATACAACGTGTGATGAGTGCCATAAATTTAATGCATCAATTCCTATGATGAAGAAATCAATAATCAGCTCGGGATGTATGCACTAGACGCGTCGTCGGACGCGACGCGAAAATGGCACGTGTCACACGTGATCACGATGAGTTGTGACCGTGACGTGACCCTCTTTTTCGCTACCACCACGATGCTCTCGCTCCTCCGCGTCCGTGCCTTTCCCCTCCTGCGCCTCACCCCCCCAGGTCCGGGCCGGCTTTCCGCGTCCCTGAGAGCTCCCCTCCCCGCCTTCTACTCCACCGCCCCCGCGACCTCTACTAGGAAGCACTTCTATAGGCTCTGGTCCGTGCGCCTTCCCGTCCGCTCCGTCTCTTGCTGACACCACCCTCCATAGCATGAACTGTGCGTGCCCTCCATACTGAAAAGGTCTACCCTGTACTCACTGAGCGGGTGGCTGGATGAATACAGGCCGGCGCGAGGGCCATATTACCAAGGACTGTAAGGAGCCGACAATTTGCGTCGCTTGCGGTGTTGAGGGACATCAGGTGCGCAGCGCACTATGATGCCCACAACAACATACCTTGCGCTAATCTACTTTTGTGCACTCGCAGCGCGGTGCCTGCCCGAACCCCGACCCCGCACGTCTCGAGGCACTCAAGACCGCGCCCCACAAGTGGTGCGTCTATCTCCTTCTCTTCCTTTGCCTTCTTGAGGGGCCCCCTATATCGCCCTTCCTCACGTCTTTTCTCGTCCTTTATGCAGTTTCCGCTGCGGCGAGCTGGGGCATGTGCTCAAAGACTGCACTCAGCCCCCGAAGTGCTTCCACTGCGCGCAGCCGGTGCGTCTCTCCCCATCTCTCCCCTAAATATACATAATATCGATACCGCGCTAATTCCTCTTTTAAAATCTTTTGCAGGGCCACATCCTCAAAAATTGCCCCACGGCCCCGCCCCGCACCACCAAGGCTCCCGCTGCTACCGCTGCCGTCTAGATTCCATCATCCGCTAGCCCGGCTTGCGACTACCCACGCCTTTTGGGTTTAACGTGGTTATGTATAGTAGATCCTCAATTGTCGTACGGATTGACGGGCGGATGGTGCCAGCCGCTCGTTATTAAATTGTCGATCGTTAATGACGCACAACGTTCTCCTGCACCGCTTCGTGTTTCCCTGCGCCTCTCTCTGTGTCATCTTCCTTCCTTCCCATCATCTTCACCCGAACGTTTGGATCTATTCCGCGTACGACAATACCAATGGATTTCGAGATTCACCTTCCATACTTCCAATGTCTTCTCTTCCAAGATTCGCTAAGTGCACTATCTCACAGTAACTGCCTCAGAGGCTCTGGCGAGCTGTTAAGTGAAGCATTCGTCGAATCATTACGTATACTCGGTGGGGGACAAAGGTAAATGCTGCGCTTTCAACTTCGCTGACAGCTGGTTCTCGAATCTAATTGATAGCTGACGTCGTACTTTTTCATGACCGGGACACTGATGTCTCGCCTGGTTATGACGAGGACACTAGTTTCTCGTTGACGCCGGACGCTGATGATCCTGGACGCTGATTTTCTGATGACCTCGACGCTCAGGTTTCTTGCGGACGCCGGCTGATTTGGATACGCGGGTTCCTTGTAGACCCGGATGTTGGGATTGAGATTGAGAACGATTCAATGAAACAACGTAGAATTCGTATGACACCCGGGGCAAAAACAACTGAAATTGCTGACTATGGCTCGGGCCTGAGTTGAACAGGCGACATCTGCATCTGCATCAATCGTTTGCCACGGATGTGGAGCGGGTGCGGACCGTCCGCTACCGAGTCGGTGTTGGGTTCAATGTGGACTGGATGTACAGTCGAATTCCTCATAACCCATACCCCGCCGTGGACACGAAAACGTATGGGTTATTAGGTGGTATGGGGTATTTTGAAGGTCGATTTCTAGAGGCCGTAAGGGCTGTATATTGATGTCTAGACTATTTACACTGTCTTTGATGCTATCCTAGTGAAGTAATCAGTCATCTGAGTATCGCGCATTGCTTTAGCATCATCTAGACGTGCCTGACGGCCAAACCTAGCCAGAATACCCTCCAGCTACCGTGCAAATTCATCGTCACGGTCCGAGACATATGCCTGGAGGGCGGAAGCTGCTTCTAAAGCCTGTCGCCGCGATGGCTTGGGGCCTTGGGCACTTCGTTGCTGAAATCATGATGATCACCACCTTCAATCTCGAGTAATTGTTCTTCCGCTCGTTTCTCGCGGACCGCGTCACAAATTTCTTGATCGGTCCCGTCGTTAATTGTGGTTTGTTCCTCCGCAATGTTCAGTAGCTCATCAATGTTCAAGCAATTGGCAGCGCGGAAAATTCCTGTGGCCTGACTGAGCGTCGCGTCAACCTCGTGCTCGGCTTGGGCAATGTCTTCTCACCCGCAGGCGGCGTCGACGTTTTCAACATGAGATGTCCGATACCCGAATGATCAGAAGTCGGTAGCGATGTCAAGGAGGAAAGGGAAGATGCCCAGGACCGAGTTACATTGGATGAGGCTTGCGGTCAGTGAGGAGCGATTCGGGCAAGATTCCGGTCTTTTTCCAGCAGTTGAAAATTGTTTGTTGAGAAACCTCGCACCACGCGAGATCGGCGAGACACATAGCCTCGAGTAGATTTTGGCAACAGGAACATCTTCATAGCGGTCGCGGGCCCTCTGCATGGATAAACGCCGATAATGCGCCTTGAAGCATCGAATAATCCCGGCGTCGGCCGGTTGAATGTGGAAAGTTAGGCTTGGGGAGAAGTTTTTTACGTAGATATTCATCAGGCGTTCCGGGGGCGCTAAAATGCTTCGAAGACTTGCCATATATGGGATCAGGCCGTGAAAATATTCCGAATTATGGGTTATGGTACCTCAACCGACCTATGGACTATGGGGTGTTATAATGTTATGGGTTTTAATTGGGAACATGGTCCGTGGAGGGCCCAAAACCATGGGTTATAAGGACTTATGGGTTAGGAGGCCTATGGGTTATTTGGAATTCGACTGTAGATTGAAACGTCGGGACCAGAGCACTTCAGTAGGATGTCAAACTGGCGTGGAAATACATAGTCTTTGTCTATGCAATGAGCCTTGTTTAATTGGAAGACAATGAGAATGCAGCTTCGAGTCGACGACGGCGGGCAGAGAGGCTACAGTGACTCGAATTGGGCGGCGAAGGAAGAGTTAGCGCACAAAAAAATAGATGGCGAGTTCCCATTATATGACTCGGGCCTGATTCGAACAGGCGTATTCTGCATATATCGTTGGGAAAAATTATCATACAAAGCAGACGCGGACCGTCCGCCACCGAGTCGGTATTCACTTACAATGTGACCAGGATAGATGAGACCCAAATGCAGGACAATTTCGCGGGGGATGGATCGGCACTCAGCGCTCAGGCCTCAGGCTTGTCGTTTTGTGAATTAGTGGCTAAGGTAGATTCGCATTGTATGGAAGTTTATGGAGGCTGGTCCAAAATGAGGACGAGCGGGGGGGAGGGAAAACGCAGAACGGGACGACGACTCGGGCCTGCCGAACAAGCGGCTTCTGTACATATCGTGGAGAAGGGGTCTCATAAATCACAGAAGTGGACCGTCCGCTACCGAGTCGGTGGTGGGTTCAACCTGCGCTAAATAAATGGGTTTGAAATGAAGCACCGTGGGGAGTACGGCGAAATCTAGGGAGGATCAATTTCTACCTAGCCGACATCACTGGCACCGCTCAGAAATTCCCCCAGCATATTTTATGCTTACGGGAAGTCACCCAATCAAAGCGTACGCGAAGTAAATACTCAGCCACGGATGTATACGCTTGACGCGACACGAGAATGGCACCCACATGTGATCGCGTTCGTTCGTGACTGTGACGTGACCCTCTCTTTTCTCCACCACCACGCCGATGCTCTCACTCCTGCGCCTCACCCCCCGCGCTCGCCCGCTCGTCGCCTCCTTGACCCCCTCCTCCACCTCCCCCGCGGCCTCTGTCAGGTACCTCAAGATGGTCTGTCCGTCGCCCTTCACGTCCGCGTCTTCAGAAGCCTTCTCTTGCATACACTACCCTTCATAGCCTGAACTATGCGTGCCTCAGATCCTGAAGAGGATGTAATTCCTCACTGAGGAGATTCATGTCCAGGCAGGAGCGAGGGTCACAAACGCAAAGACTGAAAGGCGCCGACGATTTGCGTCGCTTGCGGTGCTGAGGGACATCGGGTGCGTGGCGTGCTATGATACACATGCCATCCCTGCCGCAAACTTACCTTTGTGCACTCGCAGCGCCACGACTGCCCGAATCCCGACCCCGCACGGCTCGAGGCACTCAAACCGAACGCGTCCGGTGGTCCGTCTTCTACTCTTGGCCTTTCACCCTTCTGTCTGCCTCACGTTTGTCCTTTCCTTTCTAGTTTCCGCTTCGGCGAGGAGGGCCACAGGCCCAAAAACTGTACCAGCGCCCGAAGTGTTTCCACTGCGGGCAGCCGGTGCGTCTCTCCCCATCTCTCCGCTATGTGTCATATCCCAATGCTTTTTCTTTTCCCCCCTTCTCTTTGTAGGGCCACTTGGTCAGGGACTGCTCCTCGGCCCCGCCCCGCCCCGCCAAGGCTCCCGCTGCCACCGCAGCCGTCTAGACTCCCCTGCTTCCCATCCATCCTCCGCTGCCTGCACCACCCCCGGGTTCTGATCTGCGGCCGCGATACCTCATGTGGATGTAACGTGGTTATGTACCACAGGTCCTGAATTTGCTGTATCGGTGGTGCGTCGGTGGTGAATCATCGATCGCTAATAACGCTCTCCTGCGCACCTCTCTGTGTTATCCTGTGTTATCCTGTCCTTCCTTCCTCCACATCCCCTTATCTTCATGCGAGCGTTTGGTCTATTTCGCCTACGACAACAACAGTGGAGCTGGTTCCAAGATTCGCGAGTAATGCCGTGCGTCGCCAAGCACCCCAACTTTGCACAATCTCACAAGCAGTTGCATCAAGGTAAGGTCGTGCATTCGTCCAAAATTGATCCATATACTGGGTGAGGGATAAAGGTAAACACTGCGCCTTGAAGTTCGACGATAGCTGATGCTGTAAAGTCTATTCCAACTGATAGCGACTTCTGGCTTGATTTTGCAAACACCGGGACGCTGATTTCTTGCTGATCCTAGACACCGATTTGTTGTCGACGCCGGACGCTGAGTTTGAGATTAATAGATTAAAAGTGACCCAGTGAGGCAACGTAGAATTCGTATCGCACCGGGGGAAAAAAAAGTGGTTGGCAGATTATGCCTCGGGCCTGAGTCGAACAGGCGACTTCTGCAGTAATTTCTTTGCATCAGATTTGGAGCAGATGCGGACCGTCCGCTACCGAGTCGGTGTTGGGGTTCACACTGCACTGAATATATCAGATAGATTTATGTGGGATGCTTGGATGAGAATGAATAGGATTTGCGCGAGGGATTCCAACAAGGTGGTAGCCGTTTGTGATGAGGATGGCTCTCGAGCCCGAACGTGGAGCGGAGGACTTGGGCATGTAACGTTGCGTTGAGCGGATCAAGGGATAGAAAAAGGATTCATGCTAAGATGCTTGCTCACGACTCGAAACAGGCGAATTCTGCGTGTACTGGAAAGCCATTATATTGAGAGCAGATGCGGACCATCATCGAGTCGCTGTTAACTATAATCTGACCAGCACATATAAGATTGAAATAGAGCACAATTCTGATTAGGAGGATCAACTTCAAGTCAACCATGTCAAAGATTACTGTGAATCTGATTGGGGAAGCAATGAGCGCAGAAGAGGGGACTGGAAAAAACAGACAAAAATAATAAATTGCCGGTTGCTCCTGAGAGTATGACTCGGGCTTGCGTCGAACAGGCGACTTCTGTCGAATACGATGAACACAAACGCTTTATGAATCGCAGACGCGGGCCATCCGCCACCAAGTTGGTATTATTCTTGTAACTACAATTTGTCATGACCAGGATAAATAGCATTGAAGTCGAGTCAATTTTGAATAAGAGGATCAATTTCAAGTTAACCACCTCGGGGGGCTGACACTGAAATCTTTGTAATCAATCCTACTTGGGACTGAGTGGGGAAACAATCAGGGTGTAGGAAACAAGAAACAAAAACTACCTGTCCCAGCCGTCAATGACTCAGGCCTGAGTCGAACAGGCGGCTTCTGCATACATGTTGGAGGATATATCATCCAGAGCAGATGCGGGCCATCCGCCACCGAGTCGGTATTCACTACAATCTGACTAGGATATACAGTATGAGACAATTAAATTTGATAGACGGCGTATGAACTAAACGCTCGTTCCTCACTTACAGTAGACTTCGAGTCCACTTGTGTTTTAAAAAATCACACATGCCATATGGACTAAGGGGTATCTAACGACCTTCGTATAGTCTTAGGTGATGTAGACACACAAAAAGGAAACCCGACGCCGACAGAGTCTAGATCGAGTGTCACTCGACTCCGAATCGCAAAGGGCTGTCTCACATTGTTTCCTAACCTTCATTTGCGTAAGGGTACGAAATCCCTGCATTAGCCATCGAATCCCACAGCCTCGGAGGCGGAACAATACCAAGGCGGCAGAGTTAAAATTAGATTCTCGAGGGCAAATACATAACGACCGGTTCACTACTCAACCGTATCTGTGTGATATCCCACGTCCACCTGAAGATTCGGATAAGCTTCTGCGAGCATGCGAGCATGAAGCATCTGCGCGCATTAATTGGAGAAGAAAAAAAAGACATAAGACGCACGTATTCGCCAACATCTGAGACATCCATATTATCTAGCCTGAGGGGCACCCGGGATGGCAGACTTCCACGCCATCTACGATGGTGCATCCGACGCTGTCGCACATGGCACGTTCAGCTACAGTGGCGGCCCTCGCGCGGAGTGGACATGCGGCGAGGACCATGAGGGCGAGAGGTGCGAGAGAGGGGAGCTGCATTGTGGGAGGAGGCCTTTGACGGGGGAGTACTCCCACATCATGGCCTAAAGGCAATTTATAGTAGGTCAGCGTAGGAATATATTGTAGTTGATATCTTTAGGACAGGTAGCAGAACGGGAAGGTTCGTTGTGAAACTGTCCGTTTCATTAGCGGAGAATCATGTGGGAGGGGGGCACGTTTTTCAATTGCCTGCCGCGGCAAGGTTGCTATTCAAGACAGCCTGATGATTTCCCGATGTTTCAGCTCGACGTAACCTGGCGCAAATGCACTGGCCTTGTTTACTGGACCATTAGTTCCTAGGGCACATAAAAATACACCATACAATATATTCAAGTTCCGAAACACAGGGTGGTACGAATCGTCGTAATATATTGTGATTGATATCTTTATCTCACATTGCAGGACGGGAAGATTCTTTGAAGCCATCCGTTTCATTACTTACTCGAGACCCCGGGCGTTTTTTTCAATTGTCTGGGAGAAAGGATCCAATTTAAGATGGTCTGGTGACCTCGGGATGTTTCAACTGGACGTCCTTAAGCACTGCATTGAGCAGCCGGATAGCCAGACTAATGCCTCGCTGGACATAGCCAGAGCTACGGTAGCCGGCATAGTCAGGCATGGCTAGTCTATTTAGACACAGCTCGACATATCTTACATTTGGCGAGGGCGGGTGGAAGCAGTCTTGATGGCCGCCTACCCAGGGCTACCCGCGGTGCGGCTACGCGAGCTCGGCATCAGCGTGCGACAGCTAGCCAGGGAGGCCCCCGGTCAGGTTTGGAATCGTCAGCCATCCACCATCATGATTCGGAGCTCCCTATCCGACTTCCCAAGTACTTCACGATTTTTCAAACAAAAAAAATGCAGTTTGGGCACGCGACTTCGCACTTACGCTGGAGCGCAGCTCCGGCATGTCTTGTAAATAAGATTGAAATCGTGCACAATGTTGAGAGGACACCAGGCGGATCAACTTCAAGTTAACCATCACGGGGATTTACATTAAAATTTTGGGAATCCATCTCAGCTGGGACTGATTGTGAAACAATCAGCGTAGGATAAGGAGCGGAAAAACAAAAACAAAAAGGTACACCAATTATAACTTCCCCATGACTCGGGCCTGAGTCGAACAGGCGACTTCTGCTGAACAGTGGCTTGCATCTATTACATAAATCGCAGACGTCCTCCGTTACCGAGGCGCTATTAACTACGATCCCACCGGGATAAATGTGAGTGAAACCAACGGGGGATCAACCTCAACATCTACATTTGGGACCGACTGGGAAAAACTCAGCGCAGGCTTACAAGGGGACTGTAGAAAAATAAGAACAAAACTTGAATGGTGGTTTGACTTATCAATGACTAGGGCCTGA